TGTTTGTAGTTTAAGTAGCTGATTGGATTCATTGGATTTAATGGACAAATATAATTGTGTGTCATCAGCATAACAATGGAAAATTATCCCATGCTGTTTAATAACTTTACCTAATGGAAGCATATATAAAGTAAAGAGTATTGGCCCAAGCACTGAGCCCTGAGGAACTCCATGACTAACTTTGGTGTATGAAGATTTATTATTTACATTTACAAACTGGAACCTATCAGATATATATGATTTAAACCATTTTAGAGCTGTTCCTGTAATCCCAAAATCATATTCAAGCCTCTGTAGTAAAATATTGTGATCGACCATATCAAATGCATCACTGAGGTCTAACAGGACCAGTATAGACACAAGTCCATTGTCTGAGGCCATGAGAATATCATTATTTACTTTTACTAGTGCTGTTTCTGTGCTATGATGAGCTCTAAACCCTGACTGAAACTCTTCAAACAGATTATTTCTTTGTAGATGTTCACACAACTGACCTGCAACTATTTTCTCTAGAATTTTTGAGATGAAAATTAGATTAGATATAGGTCTATAGTTGGCCAGAATTTCTGAATCAAGATCAGATTTTTTTAAGTAAAGGTTTAATTACAGCAACCTTAAAACGCTGTGGTACATAACCATTCATTAAAGACAAATTAAGTAGATCCAAAATGTGGACATTAATGAGGGGAAACACCTCTTTAAACAGTCTGGTTGGGATGGGATCTGGCAGGCATGTGGATGGTTTGGATGAGGTTATTATTTTTGACAATTCAGAGAGCTCAACAGGACAAAAACTGTCCAAACACAAATCAGTCTAGTGAAATTTTTAAAGTTGCCTCATTTGACAGGGGACTAGAGATAGTAGAAGGAAAGATGGTTTGAATTTTCTCTCAAATTGAAATAATTTTATTTATAAAGAATCTCATGAAGTCATCACTGCTTATAGTTGTAGGGATACATGGTTCAACAGAAATGGGACTTTTAATTAGTCTAGCAATAGTACTAAACAGAAACCTAGGGTTATTTTTATTTTCCTCTATTAAAGATGAGTAATATAAAGTTCTAGCTTTACAGAGAGCTTGTTTATATGTTAGCAGACTATCTTTCCAAGTTAAATAAAATTCTTCAACATTAGTAGAGCGCCATTTTCTCTCCTGGTTTCTAGATGCTTGCTTTAAAGTACGAAACTCAGAATTGAACCAAGGAGCCAGTTTCCTCTGATTGATTACTTTCTTTTTCAGTTGAGCAATTTTATCAAGTGAAGTTTGCATTGAAGTTGTAAGATGGTCAACTAGATGATCTAAGTCACTGTTCTCTGATGCATTACTCTGCAAGACAGAAGAAAACATTGATGGAAGAGATTGTTTAAATTTGATTACAGCATTTTCTGATAAGCACCTGCTGAGATGAAATTTACTCTCAGTGACTGTGTAGTCATTTAATGTAAACTCAAAGGTTATTAAAAATGATCAGACAGAATAGGATTTTGAGGAACTATTACCAAGTCCTTAATCTCTGTACCATAGGTCAGAACTAAATCAAGAGTGTGATGATAAGAATGAGTAGATGTGCGGACGTTTTGGGTAAAACCAAATGAGTCTATTAAATTATTAAAGGCTATGCTTAAGCTATCACTTTCAACATCTACATGAATATTGAAATCACCCATTATGATGATTTTATCAGTATTTAATAGTAAGTCAGTTAAGAATTCTGAGAATTCAGACAAAAACTGAGAGTAAGCGCCTGGTGGGCGATATATAACAACTAGTAAAAGTGGCTTTTCTGATTTCCATTTTGGATGAGAAAGACTCAGGGACAGCGATTCAAAAGAATCATAACTAATAACTGGTTTGGCATTAATCAGTAATCCTGACTGAAAAATAGAAGCTACTCCTCCACCTCGGCCAGTTGTTCTAGGAACATGAAAATAGAAATAATTAACAGGAGTTGATTCATTTATACTAACAAAATCCTCCTGTTGTATCCAAGTTTCTGTCAGACAGAATAAATCAATATGATGATCAGTTATCAGTTCATTAACTAACAGGGATTTAGAGGAAAGAAATCTGATGTTCAATAATCCACATTTAATGATTTTATGATTTTGCTCTGGTAAAGTAACTGTGTTTATTTTAATCAGATTTTTATGGTTTATATTTTTAGAGCTGATTTTTGGTTTATTTAATTTGAGCTGTGGGCGAGTTGACACTGTTTCAATGGGGGTGTGGGTGGGTAACAGAGGAGAAGCAGCAGAGAGGTGTGGAGGACTACAACTCTGGACTGGACCCTGGGTTGTCAATAATTTGGGGGATAAACAAAATCAGCCATATTTCTAGAAAGAAGAGTGTCTCTGTCCAAAGTGGGATGGATGCCATCTCTCTGCATCAGATCAGGTTTTCCCCAGAAAGAACTCCAGTTATCTATGTAGCCCACGTCATTGTCAGAACACCACCTGGACACCCAGCGGTTAAACGACGACATGCGGCTAAACATGTCATCGCTGGTCAGGTTGGGGAGGGGACCAGAGAAAACTACGGAGTCCGACATGGTTTTATCAAAGTCACACACCGAAGCAACATTAATTTTAGTGACCTCTGATTGGCGTAACCGGGTGTCATTACCACCTACGTGAATAACAATCTTACCGTATTTAGCCTTAGCCTTAGTCAGCAGTTTCAAATAAGATTCTATGTCGCTCGCTCTGGCCCCCGGAATGCATTTGACTATGGCCGCTGGAGTCCCTAAAGCCACGTTTCGGACTATGGAGCTTCCAATAACCAGGGTCTGCTTCTCAGGGGGTGTGTCACTGAGTGAGGAAAATCTAATAGAAACATGAACAGGTCGGTTGTGAACTGGGGGCTTAGCCTTAGCACTACGCTTGCTCCGGACCGTCACCCAGCCGGCCTGGGGTCCCAGCTGCTCGGGGTCTGCTGGAGGACCACTAGCTGGAGCTAATCTCTGTGGTTCCATGCTGTCTAAGAGGACCTGGCTAGCTACTGGTTTTTCTACAGCACAGAGCCAAGCTTCCAGTTCAGACAGCCTCTCCTCCAAAGCTAACATAAGACTACATTTGTTACATATATCATTACCACTAAAGGAGGCAGAGGAGTAACTAAACATCTGACACATGGAGCAAGTGAAAACAGAGGAAGCAGGGTGAGAAGCAGCAGCCATGCTAAGTTAATGCTAGCAAGAGCTAGCAGAGCCAAATACACCAATTAAAACTGAGAAGTGTTGAAAGATAGGTGTTTTAAGCACTATCCAACAGTAGAAAAACAACTGTACTAAGTGTGTTTGTGAACTAGAATGAAAAACTGTGCAAAAGACAGATAAATCCAGAAAACAGAGACGACTCGAGCAAACAATTCACTCGAGCTACCAACAGACAAACAGGAAATGACACAATACGTCTCACTACGAACATGCAACGTCACACCACCAGCCCGGAATTTTGGTTTCATCTGACCAGAGCACCTTCTTCCACGTTTGATGTGTCTCCCAGGTGGCTTGTGGAAAACTTTAAACAACACTTTTTATGGATATCTTTGAGAAATTGCTTTCTTCTCGCCACTCTTTCATAAAAGCCATATTTGTGCAGTGTATGACTGATTGTTGTCCTATGGACAGACTCTTCCACCTCAGCTGTAGATCTCTGCAGTTCATCCAGAGTGATCATGGGCCTCTTGGCTGCATCTCTGATCAGTCTTCTCCTTGTTCGAGATGAAAGTTTAGAGGGATGGCCGGGTTTTGATAGATTTGCAGTGGTCTGATATTCCTTCCATTTCAATATGATTGCTTGCACAGTGCTCCTTGTGATGTTTAAAGCTTGGGAAATCTTTTTGCATCCAAATCCAGCTTTAAACTTCTCCACAACAGTATCTCGGACCTGCCTGGTGTTTTCCTTGGTCTTCATGATGCTCTCTGCGCTTTGAACAGAACCCTGAGACTATCACAGAGCAGGTGCATTTATACGGAGACTTGATTACACACAGGTGGATTCTATTTATCATCATCAGTCATTTGGGACAACATTGGATCATTCATAGATCCTCACTGAACTTCTGGAGTAAGTTTGCTGCACTGAAAGTAAAGGGGCCGAATAATATTACACGCCCCACTTTTCAGTTTTTTATTTGTTAAAAAAGTGTGACACATCCAATAAATTTCAGTCCACTTCATGATTGTGTCCAACTTGTTGTTGATTCTTCACAAAAAAATAAAATTATATATCTTTATGCTTGAAGCCTGAAATGTGGCAAAAGGTTGAAAAGTTCAAGGGGGCCGAATACTTTCACAAGGCACTGTATTTTACACCCCAGGGTACAATTTGGCCTTGGACAGTTAATCCCCCGGGGTGTACTCTAGCCTGGGCCAAACAATACCTGGTTTTAATCTGGGCAGGTTTTAATTTGACCTGTTACATCGGGTCTAGGGGATCTGGTTCCCATCTCCAGAAGTCACTGTTGAAGAGGCTGAGTTCACCCTGTACAGATCGTAAGTCAATCACAGGGTCATGTATAGACAAATAGGAGAAACAAGCAAGAGAGCATTAACAATTAACCTAACTTGCATGTTTTTGGTTTGTGAGAGGAAACAGGAGAAAACCCACACATGCATTGGGAGAACAAGCAAACTTCACTTAGAAAGGCCCAGGCTGAGACAATCCTACAACCTTCTGGCAGAGAAGCGACAGCTCTACCAATGCACTGCAGTGCCGTCCCTAACACATCAAAAACATACCTAACTGGACACCACACGGCCTCTATAGACTTCCAGGATCATGAAGTGACTCTAACTTCAGTATGTATTGTTTTATAGGATCTGAGGAAATTCTGTCACTGTGCACACACCTCCACCTGTCTCTCACCACCTTGGTATTGTTGACACCCTGCTGCTGTGTACCCACCTGCACTCTCTTTAGATAGCACATGTTTGTATCTCCTCACGTGTGACCTCCCACTCACTGTTCCTCTCTTTCTTCCTCTGTTTCCTCACAGCATGTGATTGCCATCCCGTGGGTGCAGCTGGCAAAACCTGTAACCAAACCACAGGACAATGTCCCTGTAAAGACGGCGTGACTGGTATCATGTGCAACCGCTGTGCTAAAGGCTACCAGCAGAGCCGCTCGCCCATTGCCCCATGCATAAGTATGTGGAACCAGTCTTTATTATGTCTTCCTCACCTTTAGGACATTTAAACTTTAATACACAACTTCTGAGAGGTTGGGGTGCATGAGAATCTTCAGCCTATCTTGATACATGTTCACAAACACACTCTTGAAGATTGTGTCCTTCTTTTCATTAGACTGTCAGTTTTCTAATCAGTTAATCTTCATGTTTAAATAAGTTCATAAATTCGGGAGACCTTCGAACACTAGCATGTCCAAACTTCATTCAGTTCCAAACACTTCAGACTGGTTTGTGCTGAATAACAAAATCGGTGCTATGATCCATTTAGGGATAAGGCTCAAGATGGTTTTATGATCTACTGACAACCAACTATCATAAAATCATCAGACCAAACTTAGCAACGTTTGACCCACAAACTAACAGCAGCAGCAACATGTGACCATGAATCTTAAGTTGAAGAGTGCAAGTATTGCAGTTAAACCAATTAATTCAGTTCAATTCAGTTTATTTGTATAGCACAAAGTCACAACAGAAGTCATCCAAGGTCACTGAACAAAAACATTCACATACACAAAAATTCAATTAGTGACTTTTTTTATCTAAGGTAGGGTAGCCAGCAAGACGTTGAGTCTTCATTTCATCACAGTCTCCCATCCTGAGCTAGCACAAGGCAACAGTGGAAAGGAAAAACTCCCTTTTAACTGGAAGAAACCTCCAGAAGAACCAGGCTCAGGACAACCAGCCACAGGGTTTGAGAGAACAGGAAGGAGAAACAGACACAGAATGGCAGGTCCAGAATGGAGATGAGCAAGTCCCTCAAAGGAAAGACAAAACAAAACAAACAAACAAAAAAACATTTTAAGATAGAAATAATTACAAATACAAACTATTCATTTGTTTTTATTTGTAACTATTTATTTGATGAAACGAGGTCCATTTGTCTTCACTAGTCTAAGCCTATAGCAGTATAGGATAAGGGATAGGTCAGGAAACCAAGCCAACCCTAACTATAGTATTTATCAAATCTTAAAACTGAACAAAAGTGCCTCACAGACAGAAACTGGAAGTTGGCTACACAAGAGAGAAGCCTGCTAACTGAAAGATCTTCCTCCCATTCTGACTTTGGAAACTATAGAAACAACAAGTAAACCTGCAGTTTGAGAGTGGAGTGCTCTGTTAAGAAAATATGGAACAATAAAATCGCAAATATAAGGTGGAGCTAGGTTGTTGAGAGCTTTGTAGGTTAGAAGTAAGATTTTGAATTTGATTTTGAATTTGACAATCAAAGAGGAGCAGAATACTAAAAATTACACAATTATAGTATTTTATTGTACTTAAGACATGTTTTTTTTTCCTTTCAATTCAATTGAATTCAGTGTATTTGTATATCACCAATTCACAACAAAGTTGTCTCAGTGCATTGAACAGAAGCATTCACATACTGGTACATAGAAAAGCCAATTAGTGGAATTTCATAACACACATGACAAAAATAACATTATTAGCAATCAATACTTTTAGTTTGTTTTTGAAAATCTTCTCAAGACTCAAAACTTGAAAATGTTATTAGTCCCAACATAAAGGATGCAAAACAGTAGCTAAAAACCAAAATGAGAATAACTGTGGCTAAAAGAAAAAAGTTTGCAAAACTGTAGCTAAATCATAACATTAATGAAACAGCTGCTGAACCTAATGTTAGCAAAGCAATAGCTAAAAGTTAAAATTAACACAACAAAAATGCTAAGATTATCAAAACAGCAGCACAAAGGTCGAATCGGCATGAAAGTAGCTACAATCTGACTAACACAACAAAAGCTAATAGTTAAACAAAGTTGAAGCTAAAGTGATCACAAAAGTAGTTACAAATTAAATTTAACACTTCTAAAAGCTAAATATCGCTGAAATTTAAAATCGCCATTTGTTTCAAAGAAACTAAGAGTTAAACATTTCAACAATCATAAGTTACAAACAGCAAATGCTTTAGCACTCACCTTTTGACTGTGTTGACACCTAAATGTTTAGAGTTGCTAAAAGTCTGCTGAAGTAGTTAGATGCTGAAAAATGTTGTGAAGTAAAACAGAAACTAAAAACAGGAAACGACAGTCTGAATGCCGAGGACTATGCTTGATAGTAGGCCCTATTTTCGGGGAAATGCCATTTTGTACCATGAATTTAGGAGACTAAGAATTTCTTTTCTTAAAATTCAAATAAAAATGACAATATTTTTATTTATATTTATAAAGGCACTATATGAAGTAGGGATGCAAGATATTATCAGCATGGTATTGGTATCGGCCGATATTAGCGTTAAAGTTAAATATCGGACATTGGCCATTCCATCAAAATAAATCACTGATATAAAAGGTGCTGTTTTTATATGACAACCCAGTGACAAGGATGCCTGCAGCGCCAGCACAACGTGATGACGTCATGCACGCCTACCTGATCTGATCACGGCGAAGAGGAAGAAGCACAAATGTCGACTGTGTGGAAGGGTTTTTTTTTCCGTTGAGGATATTAGATTCCGAAGATTTTTGGACTACGTTGAGTCTCGTTACATAGTCCCCAGTCAAAGATATTTTTCCGATGTAGCCTTACCCAAGTTACAAGCCGTCATTTCCGACGTCATTGAGAAGCTAATAGCCGATAGCACTGGGTGAGTTTTACCACAGACATTTGGAAGTCGTGTTAGCTCCGTTAGCATAATTAGTTTTACTGCACAATGGATAGACAAAAACTTTTAACTTAAAAAGGCTGTCCTTCATGCACAATAGTGCAGAGGATCCCACACTGCAGCTTATCTTGGAACAAGCCTTCACAAGTGAGACAGCATCGCATGTGACTAATGCTAATAAATAACATTCAACATTTTTCATTTAATATAAGTTAAAGTACAATGCATATCATATGGCTGTTACTGAATATATGTCACCAGCTCTTACAGCTGTTACACAATTTTTGTAGTAAATAAGCCAAATAGAAGGCAATGTTCTGACAACGGAAAGCATATAAAAATGTTGGTTTCGGTTATCGGCCAAATAAGTTTTAACATATTGGGATATCGGATATCGGCCAAAAATCCAATATCGTGCATCCATAATATGAAGTGGTGACTGCAATGAAACACATTCTTGTTAGCTAATTTCCCCAGTTTTATAAAACACTAGAATTGTATACATATTGTGAACGCTTGTTAGTGTTGTCAGGCACAAATCTACACAAAACAATAACGAGAAGCCGGCTCTGTATTTGAGTGGCAGCTGTTTGTTGATTGAAGGTTGGCAGTCAGCAACAGCTTCAGCGCCTCGGGGCTTCCAGCATTACAGTTTTGGCAGCAATTGTTTTCTTGCCATCAAGTAAACATCAACATCATTTCACAGAATCTCATATAAACGTAATAAATGTTAAAAGTTTGAGGCAGGTTGCTACAGCTGTGAAAATCTGATTTTCACAAGACAAGAACAGCTTGTTGGTTCTAGCCTCTATCAGACAAACCCAACACTTTTGCACAACTTTTCCCTCGGTGTGCACCTTTTTCTCTTCATGTCTTTGTGTTTTAAAATGTTGCACGCTGCCTTTACGTTGTCTCCCTGACCACAACTAAAACAGGAATTGTGCACATGTTATTCTGTAGCCATCTTGCTCCTCGTAAGATGGTTTTTCTGAGGATCGTTTTTTTTATTACAGCAGAGTGACTGAGGGCTGAGAGAATCACATCTGCACCGCTGACAGCTCTGTTGATTTCCCTCTCTATTAGGATACAAGGAAGGAGGATGAAATGGGCCCTCTAAAGACAAATTAGTTTACATCAGATATTGACATCAAAAATTTTACAACATTAATGCAGCACTGTGAATAAAATGATACATTATGAAGCAATGGATGGTTCAGTTGTTTAAAAAAAGACTTTTGGAAAGATACCGCAACAAAAAACTCCTATCAGTGCACACTTTCTGGATTCAGACGAAGCTAGCTTTATTTTTGTAATAAAACTGTTTGTTCAACAGTTTGGATGAAAAACTTAAGAGCAATTAATATTTTCTCAGTAGATATATCATTGAACAACTTCTGTTTGTGTAGAATATGTGTAAAACAAACAGTTTAATTGATGCATTTGAGTAAACAGGGATGATGAAGGGATATTTAAGTGAGTGTGAAGCGACCAGGATGAGGATCAGTTCCTCCAAATCCGAGGCCATGGTCTTGAACCGGAAAAGGGTAGCGTGCCTTCTCTGGAGTCGGGGAGGAGGTCCAGCCCCCAGTGGAGGAGTTTAAGTATCTCTGGGTCTTGTTTGTGAATCAGGGAAAGATGGAGCAAGAGATCGATATTAATTTGACATTAGTTAGTGATAAACATCCATGACCTTTACCTAAATTCCCCTGACATTGTCATCATTATTCAGGTGATCCATGTAAAATCAGTACACCAACAAACTTGAACTTCATAGAAACTTTAATTGTATATTCATTCATTCATTCAACCTTTATTTAGACAGGTAAATCCCATTGAGCCTTGAGGACTCATTTACAAGAGAGTCCTGATTTCAACAAAGAATGATGACAACAATGGACAACAGCGACAACAATAAACAGTTATAAAAAGTCATACTACATATTTTTTTCATCTCAGATTCCACTTTATTTATACTGGTGTCATTCCTTTCCCAAGACTTTAAGTGTATTATTTCTGTAAAGGGGACCAAGTTCTAAAACGTAATGAAAGTTAAAAGTTATTTAGGCTTCATTCCTTTAAACATATAATTTATAGATTGAGATGACAGTTACATGATAATAAAACTTATCTTTTTCTTTGTCTTTCTTGTTTTCTCTCGGAGAAGAGATTCCAGTTTCTCCTCCGACAACTCCCTCCAGCATCACAGAGGCGCCATCCGGTGAGTACGGCTCAGTCGTCTCGCTTTTACCAATTCTTTTAAAACGTGCACACATCAATATGCTGTAGGAACATTTCTCCTTTAGGCAGAGATATGGAGAATGTGATGGAAATACATAGAGGATTTCAACACTTTCAGTTCCACTATGTTTTAATATTTTCCCAGTCGAGTGGATAAATTGGATCCCACATGTCTCCCCTCCTCATTAGGGCTTCATGAATATTTATCCATTAGCTGCAACTCGGGGATGTGCCTCCTCTAATCTCTCACACATTCACAATTAATCAGTGTAAGTGTGGCACAGCAGGGTGTTGGGACCCTGCACGAGGCAGGTTCACACTTTGATTAGGTGGATGACATGTTATCTCTTCAAACCCCCGTATTTTCCAATCTTCCTAAAAACGTATAACCAATGGAAAAAGCTTGATCTTGTGAAACGTTTGACATACGTTTTTTTTTTCTTGTTTGTTCATCGTGTGTCTTTCTCAAGACCTCAGTGTGTGTTGAACACGCAGAGCAGAGCAATGATAGAAGAGAAAACAGAAGTGGTAGCCTGTAAAACTCTGACTTAAAGAAAAAAAAAACATACTTCCTAATTAGGCCAAGCTCAAACGTACGAGCACCGAGTTGTCTTTCTTCGAATCAAACTCTTTTATTTGAGCTCATGAGTTCATTGATGTGTTTGAGTCATCACCAGGGCCGGCTCAAGACACAAGCAAACTAAACAGCTGCTTAGGGCCCCCAGGCCTAAGTGGATTTTTTTTTTTTTTGTAGTGATGTCTATATGATTCTATTTAATATTTTAAGTTCAGCTTTTGCAAATTGTTGCATATATTTATATAGTTTTAAGAACTAATTATTCAACTTTAAATTTCTTTTTTAAACCATTTTACGTGGTTTCAAGTAATTGTTCATTTACATTATAGAAGTATTTCCTTAATATTTTATTTTGTATTTTATTTAATTTTGTCTGTTTTTGCACAGTTTAATTATTTTTATGCTTCTAAGTTATTTTATCTGTTTGTAGTTGATCTTGCACTACAAATTATTTTGAACATTACTGCTGCAGTTCTTTGGAACCAAAGATAATAAACCAGATTACACTTTTGCTGCAAAATACATTGTATACTGGTGGTGGTGGTGGTGGTGGTGGTGGTGGGGGGGGGGGGGGGGGGTTGTTTGTTTGTTTTCTTACTTTTAGTACCACTTGATCGCATGTGTCAAACTCAAGGCCTGTGGGCCAAATCCGGCCCGCCATGACCATTTTTGTGGCTCTCTACACCCTAGAGGGCCACAGAGACAGAACTTCAAGATAACAGTTGTGTGCTTCAATATTATTTTATCAGTCAAATCAAGTCAGTTTTTATGTTTATAATGCCAAATTACTCAAACATGAAATATTTAATTTTTAGAAGTAGTCACTGAATGCAGAGAAAGTTATATTTTACCAGTTTGTTAATAGATAGTTTTCTGCCATGTCCGGCCTTTTGAGGAGATTCATGAGCTTGATGTGGCCCAAAATGAAAATGAGTTTGACACCCCTGCACTAGATGATTTATACATATAGGATAATGTAAGCAGGACTGTCAGAGTTACAATGAGTTGATGTTAGGTGGGTGAATGATCTGATCATCTGACTATTGATTATAGTAATCCACATTATTAGCAGAAATAGGGTCCCAAACCAAATTTCGCTTAGGACCCCATGGAAGCTTGGGCTGGCCCTGGTCATCATTGTTGTGTTCTCTGACCCGCTCCCTTCAACCTAAAACCACCCTCCATGCTGTTTTGAAATTAACCTATCTTATTTGCAGAGGTAAAACTATATATTAAGTTTTTCTTGAATTGTTTCCAAAATGAGGTAAACATTATACAAGTATTGTATTTATTGTGCACAGACTAGATTTAACAGGCCACATCATTTATGTTAAAATTAACAGTTTTGTTCATTAATACATTTAATTTAAAGGACCAGACACTTTTACTCAAACTAAGTGTAGATAATAATAATAATAGTATAATTACTTAAAAGGACGCATTTCGTTATGGGACAGTTTTACATTTGATTTTGCACAATCTCTTTAAACTTTGTGTTGAGGATGATGTTCACATACCAACTACAACAAATCTGACTGAGTTAGAAGTATTTTATTTTTGGCTTAGGCTAATTAGTTGTAGATGTATATCTAATGATTATTTTCTGAGATTGTTAAGAAGCTTGTAAAAGTTATTTGGACTAATTCAAAAAGCTTTTGCCCATTTATAGAAAGCATTTCCATCTAAATGTTCAAACAAAGGCACTGAGCTCCAGTATTCTTGAAGTAATGGTAAATGGTAAATGGACTGTACTTATATAGCACCTTTCTATCTTATTTCAAGATACTCAAAGCGCTTTACACTACAATCTGTGCCTCATTTACCCATGCATACAGCACTCTACTAGATCTCTACAAAGCTAATTGAACAAATAATTCTAAAGAGACTAATCAGTGCTTTAGATCACATTCATACACCGATGGGACACACATCGGAGGCAATGAGGGGTTCAGTGTCTTGCCCGTGGACACTTCGGCATGTGACTGCTGGTGGATTCGAACCCTCAACTCTTGCATTGGAGGACGACTGCTCTAACCACTCAGCCACAGCCGCCCGAAGTGCCATTAGGTGACAAGAACATCAACTCTGAAGAGACAGTTTGGTCATTTTTGAAGTGATTTTATGACTAATAGTTTGAACACTTGATACCTTATCAGCTGTGATCACAGAGTTTAGAATGACAAAACATTTCATCCAGGCTAAAGGTTAACCAGACAAGTGACAATTTGTCATTCTTTTTCAGGCTTATAAAGCAGCTCTTTCAAAAATAACAGTCTGATAGACTCTGCAGAGAACTGAGTAAACCTTTATTATCATACGGACAAATTCATTCAACAGCATCAGCATCATTATCATACAGCCTATCTTTGCTCTGCACACCTTCACATAGTAACATGAACATTGTTAATTGAGAAAACAGATACAAACTTGTACTTTTACTCAAAAAAAGAAAACACTCAGATACTTTTTAGACCAATACCGCTTTAATATTTGATTATGTCATTTCCTCTTCTGCTTGGCAAGTAACTGAGGGCAAAAAGAAAATGGCTGTAGATATTTCAAGACAAACACAGACTGTGGTAAAACAGCAGACGGTCTGTTGTTTTAATAAAATAAATGTGTTTCTAAAGTCATTGTGTGATGTTTAAATACTAACTCATTAACTACTCAGTATCAGCAAGTAGCCAAACTGAAATACTTGTACTTGTACACTGTTTAAAAAAAAACAAAACTAACAAAAAAACTAGTACACCCCTGTAGAGATACACGTGAGGTACGTGTCACTTGTTGTATGACACAATATATGAATTATATATGCATACAATATTCACGAGTTCTTCATTTTTCTGACTGTAAATGCCGTGCATTGAATTTAACAGAAATGTGAACGAGAGACGTTATTTATCTTTGACCCATCAAATGAATGGAATCATTTATTTTCAAAATCAAAGTTTAACATCAAACATTTACATTAATTTGGCAAAATATGAAAATAATAACAGACAGTTTCACAGAAAATGAACTTCAAATCACTCGGCGGTGATTTGAGGACTTTGCTTCAGACATTTCTAAAAATATCTGTACTGTTTTATGAGAGAGAGGTGAGTTTAAGAGTAAATTGAGATTTATCTTACAGAGGAATATGTGAGGGAGATTTAATCTGTTTAACCAGAAGTTGCACGCTCCGTCCGATCTCAGCTTCTCACGGTACACTTGGTCAAAATAGAACCATCTACCTGTTGACGATGAATCAGCGTTGGATGTAGTTCCTTTCTGACTCGTTTCAGCGTCTCCGTCGAGAGCTACCAAACCTTCAGAAAGTCGTGCGTTGATTAGCTCAAAACAGAATTATAATCCCCAAAAAACCTCTGGATTCTTCATTGCTCTGAAGCTTTCAGAACCGACTGCATTCTCAATCTTCTCATTCTGTTAGACTATCGGACCTGTTGTCAGCTCCCAATCCAACATCTCTCAGAACTCTCAATCTAACTTGAACTGGGGAGTTGCCACATTTTATTTGGGTCGACTTCCTGTTCAATTTAGAGCTTTCTGATTCGTGGAAGGACCAGAAAGAGGAGTGGATTTGTGACGTAAGATGTTATCATAAGTCAAGGATTGTTTACAACATACAGAAAAGATTATTTCAGCAACAGCAGACTTCGTGGAGTCTCACACTTTGTAATCTTTTCAAATAGTAAAACATGACATTTTTCTCGGTAAACATTTTAGTTGACCGAAAACCAACCTTTAACATACTTACGACAGCTTGCTCATTTCAGACATAAAATCAAGAAAGGCATATTCAGGTGATTTCTTCTCTGAATGAGGAACAAAAATCATTACTTACTGTTTATGTAAAATAAAAATTAGTAGTTCTTTTCAACCTGTAAAGCATTGAGTGAACTAACACAATTTGATTATCAAAACATTTGTAAGACAGTAATGATTATAAAGAATTGTCTTTTCTGCTTGATTAATTCAAGAAAGAAAGTTCATCAGATGGTTCAGACTTATTCAGATCAATGAAAATAACAGTCTCTGTCCATCTGGTAGATTTGAGGTTATCTGGTTCACTACACCCCTATAATTGTAGCGATCTTTCACACAACTAAAGTAAGTTGTTTTTGAGAAAGAACTGCTTATTATGCTTGGAAGACAATAAAAACTGACCCTCGTTTGGCTAGCTGTTGGCTTAGTCTGAACGAGGACTTCTGTCCTTTTTTCCCTACGATGTACTCTACGACTGATGTCACGGCTAACATGGCACCAACTACTCATATCTATTTGACAGAAAACTATTCAAAATTGATAAGTCTATCCCTTATCAAACTACAGAGAGAAGACATTTTAAGTTCGGCTAAAGATTCTCCCAAAACACATGCAATTTTTTTGTTTTTATCTTT